AGTGTTGGGAGAAGACAAGGGATGAACTCCGTAGATACAGCTCATATGCTTGTCTAGAGAAGTGAAGATAGAGCTCATATGCTTATCTTTGTGAAGTGTGGATACAGCTTATATGCTTATCTGTGAATGTGGGATATAGTTTTTATACATATCTGTTGAGAATGTGGATATAGCTTATATGTTTATCTGTGAATGTGAGATATAGTCTTTATACATATCTGTTGAGGTGATGATAGAGCTAATATGCTTACTTGTTGAAAAAGGGAAAATGAAAGGTAACTTGGACTCATAAGTCGTATGGCATAAAAATGTGATTTATGTGGATGTATTAGTATCGGCCATCTATCAATTGCTAATCTTTTAGTCATTGTTCATGGTTGGTTTAGTGTATTTCTACTGGGCTGTGGCTCACCCTATATGGGAATATCATTTTCAGGTGCAGGTAGCATGCCACCTCCAAGGACATAGCTTGGGAGGCTAGATGCGAGCAGATTTTTGCTGTTTAGTTTCTGTTGACGTATTACATGTATATTCAAGCCAAGGGCTTAATGTGCAGATGAGTTAGCACTCTTTTGTTGTAACCAAGTGTTAACTTGGAAAGCTGTAAGCCCGTAGGGTATTTTGCTTTTGTTGTTAACATGTAATACTTTTGTAATGAAACTCTGATTAATAGAAGAATGTGGATATTTTGCATGTCAACGAATGTCTCAATCGAGGGTTTAATGTTATTATTTTGAGGGCGTTACATGTTTAAATACATTGTATATGTATGATTGTTTGGGAGGAGAAAAGGGATGGACTCCATTATAATTAAGTTAGCCGGAGTGTCCTATGTGAAAGTCCCGAAATCTATACATGGGTGCCGATCCCGCGGACGAAATATCCGTAAAATGGCAAGTTGGAAGTGTTACGTGTTGAGTATGAAATTTGTTGAATTACTGAGTTCTAGTCTCATTTGGGTTATTGAAAAGTAATGAAATTGGCTCATGTATTGAGATGAATTGAAAGAGAATGAAATGGAATATGGAATTGATATTTTATGAATGTGTATAAGGTTATGAATGTTTTATCCCAGACATTGTTTATGCATAATGTACTTATATCTTCGTTAAATCTCATATATTGTGTTAGATTATTCCTACTGAGCTGTGGCTCACCCTATTTGGGAAAACCATTTTCAGGTAATAATGGAATGCCTCCCCCAAGGCAATAGCATTGGAGGAATTTCTGAGAAGCAAGAGCTTCTTGTTTTGTTCTATTTTTGTATAGCCAAGGGCTAAATTTGTATGAGCTAGCCTCTTTTTGTTGTAACCAAGTCAAGACTTGGAAAGATGTAAACCTATAGGCATATTATTATACTAAACTATTTTGTACTTTTGATTTCATGTAATGAAAGGATTACTTACTCTGATTCGTGCAATTAATGACATATGTTTGGGTTGTATTTATTATGTATTTTGGGGGCGTTACACTATCTTAAATGATTATAGTGGCGTAAATTTTTATAATGTAACCAAGTAAAATAATAGTAATTTTGGTGCTTGAAATTTTAAAAAAATTTCAATTGTATTCAAGTTTGATTTGTTGAAATAACAAGCGATCTTGAATGCACTTTTAACAAGTTATAGTAACTTGATTCGTTTTGCGCCTATATTCAAAATCTAACCATATGAAAGTACTATTTTTCACAAAATTTCTTATTGCCCAATTACAACAATTAATATTAGAAAACACAAAGGAAAAAAATGCTAAGATATAAAAATTTAGGCAATCAAATAAAAATTTTAAAAATTTAAGGAAAACTACCAGAAAGATTTCCTTTTTCAATAAACATGGAGTGTGGGATAACCAAACCTTTAATGTATGCTAAATATATTTATTTAGTTAATTTTTTTTTTATCAATATTTCAAAAAAAAAATCACATTTAGATTTTACTAGATGAGATGGGCCTAAAAAAACCAAAAAGCAAAAAGCCAATTAAAGAAAGAAAAAAAGAAGTTAATATTTATTTTGTTGTAACTTTTTTTAAATATATAAATTCCTTCTAAATTAGACTAAATTGAAAAGTAAAAATTTTGACATAAATTTTAAAAAATTTCCAAAAACACAAAAGTTTGAAAAAAACAAATGTAATATATTTGCACCATACATATTATCAAAATGCTAGTTTGGACCTTGGAACATAATACGTGCATCGTATATATTGTAATATATCTGTAACAACCTGTTTTTGGTGACCGCTCGAGCGGTCAATTGGTCGCTCGAGCGGTGAAGCAGAGCTCCCAGTATTTTCATTGTAATCTGCAAAATTTCTAAGACCTTGCATTTACTGCTCGAGCGAAGGACAGTTTGCTCGAGCGGTCTGCTTGTATTGTGTGTATCGCTTAAGCGATGAAAAGTTTGCTCGAGTGGTTTGTTCGGGACATCTGTTTTAAATTTTGATTTTTAAACACTTTTTGGGCTCACTTTTTCACACTCATTCTCTCTCTAAATCCCATTTCCGAAAACCCTAGCTCCTAAACATTAGATTTCATCTATTTTTAGCTAGAATCCATCCTTGCTCCTTCATCAAAGTTGTTTATCTCACCAAAGGCTACATTTTAAACCGATTGGATCTCGTTATTGTGAAAGTTCATCTCTTGGGTTGTCATCTCTGCTCTCACAACTCTTGAGATAGGAATACTTTTACCCTTTTATATCTATATTTTGGTTTGAATATGTGTTAATTTCATGGTATAGAATTGTGATTGGGATTGGATGATGATATGTATATATGTGGACATAAATGGTGATGGTGGGTTTAGCCTTAAGATTTATGGAAAAAGCGATTAATTTTTAATGAGGAAATAGTGAACACATCTTGTATCTAGGCAAATGAAAGATTGGATGGAAAAGCCCTAATTGTCATGTAAAGCCCTAATTAATGTTCATGGGTCTTGATTGGTAATGGAAAGGAAATCATGGGTAATGTGAAATGTATTGAGATTCTTTGTTTTGGAATGAAATTTGAGTTTTGATGGCTTGTTTGTTATACACTATTGAGGTGCCCACTTGCCCGGTCGTGTGAGGACGACAAATGTGAGAATGTTTGAGGTGTCCACGTGGCCATTCGTGAGAGGATGAAAAATGTGAAAAAATTGAGGTGCCCACTAGCCATCCGTGTAAGGACGGGGAAATGTGGAAATTAGTTAAATAATGTGCATTGGATTATGAAATTGGGTAATTAAATGTTCATGGGTAAGGAGTGTGGCAATGCATACTTTAAATCAAATGTTTATATATTTGGTTAAATGTATTCTCTACTGGGCAGTTACTTATTCCTATCTAACAACATTTCAAGACTTGGTGAACTGCAACCACATCAATGAAGAAGAAGTCGACCAATCCTTTTGTTTTAAACTTATAGATCTTTTGAAGTTGTAGTCTAATTGTCAAACTTTAACGTTGTTTTGGGAAATTATGGGCCCTTTTGTTCTTTGATGGCCATGTTTAAAACTTGTAAGCCCATGGGGCAATTGTTTTGTTTTCTCTAACTTATTGAATTGTGAACAGTTAATATGTAATTTGTAACTCTGAATTTATAGTTCAATGAGAAAGAGTAAAGTTGAGATTGGTTGTGAAATTAAGTTTATTATTATATGTTCATCCCTACTGTACTGGATAATTTACAGTTTCATATTTAGGGGCGTTACAATATCTGCACCATGCATATTGTCAAAATGGTAGCAAATATGATGGAATCAAAAAATTTAAAGCTTTTGATGATGCAAATTGCTTACAAACTTTCTTAGAGTTTTTGCCAAAAAGTTCCAACTATGTAATGAGGTACTTGTTTCATGATTTATTGCCAAAGTTAAAATGCTTACATGAATTACGTTTGTGTAGTTCAAGGATAGAGGAACTACCAAATTCCATTGGAGATCTAAAGCATCTACGGTACCTTGATGTATCCCATTCTAAAATTAGGAAGTTACCCGATTCGGTGGTAACTCTCTACAATTTACAAGTCTTGTTTTTGAAATTTTGTGTTGAACTTCAGAAGTTGCCTCTAAACATGGGGAGGCTAGTGAACTTGCGCCATTTTGACATGACTGGCGTGCATATTCCATCATCAGAAGAGATGTCACTACATATAGGTAAATTAACTAATCTCCAAACATTGTCAAATTTTATGGTGGGTAAAGATTGTGGGCGTAAAATAGGAGAGAAGACGAGTAGACATGGCAGTGGTGGGAATCTTCGTCTCTCCCTTGCTAAAAGCTGTGATTAACAAGCTGTTGTCCTCTGATTTAATCGACTTGGCACGTCAAGGGGGTGTCGACACTTCCATCAAGAAGCTGAAGAAGTCATTTGAAGATATAAACGATGTTCTTGCTGATGCAGAGGAGAAGCAGATATCCGACAGGGCTGTCAATAAGTGGCTGAAAGAGCTCCAGCATTTGGCTTACGATGCGGACGATGTGCTGGACGAGTTTGCCACTGAAGCTCTACGCAAGAAGCTGATCAGGGCAGAGACTGATGCTGATGTTGATGTTGGTGAGGCCAGCACATGTAGGAAGGTACGACGATTCCTCCTTTCTACTTGTTGCAAAGCGATGCCCTACCATTTAATTTCATTCGATTTCGCAATTGGGTCCAAGATAAAGAAGATCAATGGTCAGTTACAAGATGTTACTACAAGAATTAAGGAACTTGGTTTGATCAAAAAGGCTATTGGGGGGACTCATAAGCCTACAAATGCATGGCCGAGACGAGAAACCACATATTTGCTGGATGATCCTTTTGTTTGTGGCAGAGATGAAGATAAAAAACGGATTGTTGAATTGCTTCTTAGAGATACACCAACTCAAAACAAAGTCGATGTCATTCCCATCACCGGCATGGGTGGGATTGGCAAGACTACTCTGGCTCAACTCATTTATGATGATGATGGTGTCAAAAACCATTTCGATCTAAAAGCGTGGGTTTGTGTATCTGAGGAGTTTGATGTTAAGACAATAACAAAGGCAATTCTGGAGTCATTCACTCTCGCTCCATGCAATTTGACAGAGTTAA